CTAAAATTTAAATGTAACTAACATGAATAAAGCATCAGAAATTGATAAATGAAGTGCTAAAACCATTATTGAAACAATTAGAAAAAAAAATGTAAAACAACACCTCTACAAAACAATCTTGACTCAAATTGCATGCATAAAGTACAAAATAAGGACTAACCTTGAACTATTTGCACTCTTCACTAGAAAGCGCCTTAACGTGCTAAGAATAATTCGATCTTGCACCCTTTTAACCAACCACTCCAAAGAAGATCTATTTTCAAGAACTCCCACAGGGAAATAGACCTGTCTGTAATCAGTGGCACTATGAATTTTCATGCTGCAAATTACTTCCAAAATAGGAAATTAAATACCAATTACACTGCAAAATCAACTAAAACTTCGCATCAAATTTGACTTTATTAAATAATAAAGGATACTGATTTATGCTAAGGCATCAAACAAATAGATTTACACAAGCCAAAACTTAGTGAGATCAGTAGAGTGTACAAGAAAAATGAAAAGGAAACACACCTTAAGGATTTTGCTGTATCAGTTATTTCGCTTATAGATACATCATTTGGGAAAATCTAAAGAGGATCACCAAAAAATAGATTAAGGTATAATAGATCAGAAATGGCAGCATTATATCTTATTGACCAGTAAAACTAAGGAAAGCAAGCAGTTAATTCAACAAAGGAAGGGTGAAAAAAAAAATTCAACAAAGAAAGAAATCAAACAGCTTGCAGGTCAACCAATGATTCAGTCGGTCATAACTTATAAGCAACCAATATACTGGACGACACAGAACAGTAGATTTTTGTATTTCTGCATATGACTTGTTGTATCTCATCTAATACACTCTTTGTAAGCACAAAACCAATTTTCTTAGCCTAAGTTGTTTTGATAATTTAACACCAGGCGTATTTAGGTACTTTGACTGTTTACTTCAGAGAATGTCCGTTGCCAACATATCAAAAAGTGGGTAAGTATTTTAATTTCTGGCAGATATAGAGAAGGTTAATAAATCCACTTTAATGTCTTGTCAGGAGAAAGTTAAGTCTATGTTAGATTTGTTTTATCATTTATGTAGCAGGCTTGCATTTCATACAACGTTATGCAGTGCCACATTCTCTTTCAAAACAGCATCTCATCAGTGGAAAGAAAAATGAGTTTTTCATTTTTTTGGGTTAATAGCTATGTTAAGTTTGCGTTGCTACTTCATATTGGCCGCTAATATAAATTTATATTAGTCAAATATAACATATTTTCTAATTAAGGGGACCAAAGGTACATAATTTAATCAATTGAAGGATAAGTATGCTGTGTCATATATCACAAGGACCAAACATGTAATTGACCAATAACTTAGGGACCAAAAATGCAGTTATCTTATCCCTAATTTTTATGCCACAAACTGCTGAAAAAACATACCTCAACATGTTTTAGCTCCATGGTTCCATCCACCAGTTCAATTAACAACTCATGATTTTGCTCTGGTGGTTCAGCAACACCAATTGTTTGGTTATGGAGCAAGTTTTCTAAGTTTGGGATAAAAGTTCTCAAAGATAATCTGATGCGGTTCCCCTCAAATTGTACTATCTTAAGACCAGAAAATGCATCTTCAATCTTTTCTATAGCCTCAAACCTGATTATATTGTAAAATTAAATGCACCAGAGTTAGACAAGGGAGAGTACGGAGAACTATGCAAAGTTTATTTTCGAAAATACCTGTTGAAAGTACTCTCAAGTTCTTCCAAGGACTCCAAATTCAATTTGCTCTTTTCAAGCTGATTACCTAATTCAAAGATCTACATAAAAAGTGGGTAAAACAATGATACATAAGTAACCTTAATTTTCTTTTAAAGAAATAACAGAACAACATCCAAGTATGCTTTGGCAGTTTGCCAGTAGACAGATTGTTATGCAATTTGATAATTGAGACGACAACTAGACTAAAAACTTCCTGTTGCATCAGCAACTGACAGCAAGATTTGCATTAAGATTATGATTTCAAACTACTCTAAGTTGTCTTGCAATATTGAAAAGATGTAAGAACCTTAAAGTTATGTTCTACAGGTGCACTTGACAAGTTTCCTTTATCTTCTCCAGGTGTAGAGCAAGGAAAATTTGTCAGGGCTCTTCCTTGTTCAATTCCCTAAAATATAAGGTAAGATACAATAAGTATAACAATAACAAGCATTTGAACAAAGTTGGAGTTCTAAGATTTAGAGGAATCATGATAAGATTGAAGCATTAGACTTGGACACAGAAGAGGGAAAAAGATAGAAAAAGAACACTTGTTCACCTAGCAAGAAATATTCAGCTGCTAATCAAAGTGTAATTTTTTTTAAAGGTAATTTAATTTTACTCTTAATTGGTTCAGAAGTATAACAAAAGTATCCTTGCTAATATTTCCACTTGAAAAGATTCAATTGACAGACAACTTGCCATTAGTTGATATCCATTACTGAACAAGCTTGAAATATTGTAAAAAAAAAACTTATGCACTGACACAAATAGTAACAACTTCAGTGTAGAATTGGATCACACAGGGGTTAGAAATTGTCACATTACATTCTTCCACCCACATGCAGTTTATTTGATATTTCACCTTAACGCTTTAGGGTGAGCAGACAGATACCATAAAACTATAGCATGTCCAATTTCTTAAGGAACCAACAAGTAAATGTGTTTGCTAAGTCTGCAAGCAATCCCCCTCCACCCCACTAGCCCACACTGATCAACGAACTGAGTTTAGATTCAAGTAGAATCAGCTGATGAACAGAAACAAACCAGTGATTCAATGAGCTCCAACAGACAACTAAGGCCTTCAACCTCATTCACCAATTTGCTATAACCTACAGGAAAAAAGAAATACATTTCAAAATCATAAGTCAAGCACGTGTCGCAATCCCACATAAATCTGAAGTTCCCAGAACCACCAGGAACCCTCAGCACCTTCAACATATTCCCTTGAAAGACCCTCAATTTCATCTGCAATTTTTGCATTCTTAGCCTCTTCTGTGCTTAGCTCATTCTTCAAATAATTCCAAAATTCATCTGAAGTTACAAACACGAGAATTATAATGGCAGATAAAACTCCCTGCAAAAATGTATGTGTGTGTCTATGTAAAGCTCCCCTTAAACATATGTGTGTGTGTGTTATACACAGATACACACACATGAAGAGAAAAAGAAGATATAAAAAGCTTTTCTTCTACCTAAATCCTGATCAGATGAGAAGTTGACTTCTGAAGCATCACATAATAGCTGTTCCACTTTGCTCTGAAAAATCATACCCAATGAACAAAGCGACTTTGAAAGAAAAATATACTGAACATGACAACCTGTCAAAGAAAACATGAAAGGATCTATTCACAAAGAAATAACCTCTCTTGCTCTCGTCAATTTGTCTATTCCTTGTCCCTTATAGAGTCGATTTGATCCTTTTTAGAGCTAATGTGTTTGGTATTGGTAAAATTGCACTCTATGATGAACTCATAATTCATTGTTTGCTTATCTTAAAAGTGAAAACTGTTCTATTCAATAAAAACAATTCCCACATACAAGGGGGGAAATGGCTTCCTTAGCTAATGAAAGAACTCAACACACAGACCATTTTCCTCCACACCAACCACACAACTGAAAATAGATAATCCTTTTCCTTTTGGAAAAACAAAATTTGATCCTTTTTTGAAAACCATCGTGTCGGACCCAATTTTCACGTACCTCGACTATCTCCACGAATACCTACACCTCCTACCACAATAGGGTAACTATGTCCACCAAGGCTAGAGCATAGGAAAGAAATCACCTAGTGTATTTTTTAATCTGCTGGAATTCGAACCTGAAACCTTGGTTCTCAACCCATTTCATTGACCGCTGCGACTAGGCCAGACCCGTGGGTGTGCAAAAATAAAATTTTGATATTAAGAAACTACAAGTACTGTAATTTTTCCATATCATAACGCTAAACGAGTGTGCTCAATTTAACTTAACTTAACCGAATTCTGGAGCTAAAAAACACGAAAACTATTCAAAAGCTTTCATCTTTTTAACTAAATTATAAAACAAACGCAAAGTTCAAGTTCTTTTTTTACCTCAAATTGAAGTGTACAATCTTCCAGCGATTTCTTCAATTCTAAACCAAATGCTTCTGGTTCTTCAACACTTCTTTGAATATCTCTAAGCTCTTGAATCTCCCTATCATTACCATATATCCAAAGCAACAAACATCAAAAAAAAAAATTAATTTAGCTTGGAAATGCAAAAAAAAAAAAAAAGAGGACCTTCGAAGAGAATCGGCATCATTGTAACTTCGATTTTCCATTTATTGCTCGAATTTCGTAAAAAAAAATCCAGATATTTTCTGTAATTCAAACTCCCGCCATTGTTATACGGGTTTGTGCTTGTGTTGATTAAAGAGGAAAAGAGACGCTAGAGGTGGATCGGGTAAGTCAGGCCCATATATAGGTTGGCCCATTTATATAAGCCCATTAAATTGGGCCAAAATTTAAAGTATTTTAATTTGAATTTTGAACTTTTTTGATTTGAATAAATTGAACTGAGTTATGTTAATATGAGCTTATTTATAAAAGGAACATTAACGTAAGTTTTCTGTCATTTATCAAACTCCATGTATTTCGTAATAAGACTCTCTTCTTTTTCTTTTTTTGAGATTTTCTAAAAAGAAAAGGGAAAAAAACAATATTGCAAAGAGCCAAAAAGGTCATAAAATGAACAGAAATCAAGTTTTTAGGCTTTTGTGGCTGATTTTTCAATAACAAAACTTTTTTATTTTTTGGTGAGGGTATAAATCTCGTGATCAGAAAAAAACCACCACCCTTTTGCTACAAGAAATCAATAGAATTTTTTATATGAGCCATCTAATCTAAGTGTAATAAATGGAGATTAAAAGTCAAAAATCATTTATTTTTAAGCTTGTTGAATACTCGTAAGGGAGTTAACTGATTTTTCATAAAAAAAATTACACTATATATATATGTGTATTATGTGTGAATATTTATTGAATGGCTTTTATATTCTACTAAGTCTTTATATGTAAATAACTCGGATCAAGTCTCTATATATAGTCATTCAATATCACTTTCTCGTGGTGAATAGGATAACCCTCTAATATTCTAGCAAATCTCGAACTCTCTCGATATAAACCAGTCTGGTGTACGAAAAATTTTGCTCAAGATCTTCTATTCTAGCAAAAATCTTGAACTTTCTCTATATATACAAAACAGTATGATTCACTAAAACTTTTGTTCAAAGTCTTTATATATAGTCTTTCAAAATCACTTCCACGACCAAAAAAAAAAAAACTAAACAAAAAATGTATTTTATAAGAAACATTTCAATTTTTTCCATTTTTTTCTTGGTTTTGGCTTCACAAACCAAAGCAAACTTTAACTCAAATCTTATTGAAAAAGCATGCACAATTAATAAACCAAATTGGGACTTTAATTTCTGCATTAAACTCTTAAATTCTGATCCAAAAATCTCATCAACACAAACTCCATTTGATTTAGCCATAGCAATTATTCAAGCAGGAAATTCCCATGCATCAAAAACTCAAGACTACATAAATAAAAAGCATAGCCATGAAGGAGGCACAAGCATTGTTGTTTCTTCAGCATTGAGTGTGTGTAGCAAATGGTATGTTTGATTAATCTTTTCCATATGTCAAATACATTTGAATTTTTTTTCAATCGTTTTTTTTAATGTGTGTTATGATAATATTTGTTATTTTGGTATCAGTGACATTTGAACGTGAATCTTACTTGCTCCAATATTGTATTTTGAACCATGTAACTGTTTCACTTTTAAATAGAACCAAAAACACTTTTGATTTAATTGATCTATCGTCAAAACACATCAAATCTTTATTTTATTGAATGATGCACTTTTGATCCATTTGCTTGCTAATATATTCACAAATTATCACAATAATTAATCATCTCACTACATTATTACTCAGATGTGATATGTCATGTTAAATTTGTATTGTTACTCCATATTTAATTTGACGATAGTACAATTCTATAGATAGTCAGCTCATGTAACATATTTTCTACATGAAGGAACCAAAAAAACACATTTTAGATTAATAGAAAGTGTGAATTATGTTGATGCATATATCATAAGGACCAAAAGAAGAAATTATCAATAATTTAAGTCGAAAAGTGGCATTATTAATTTCTAATAGCATAAGCTTTTAAATGAAATCTGAAATAAACATAAGATTAAACTTTTAGATAAGATTATTTTCTAACATATAAGTTATTTATTTTTACTTTTAAAGTAGCTATCAGATTTGAACTCAAGAGCCTCTTGCTTTTGCTTACTTATTATCATGTTGAGTTGTCTGATCATCTCAAGTATAGAGATTACATATTTTACCTGATTAATTATATTATGTCTCGATAACAGGTATGGAGGTGTTGTTGGAGCATTTGTGATTGCTTTAGATGATGTTCAACATCAAAAGTTTCCATCAGCTAGTGATCATGTTGAATCAGCTAATGATTTTGCCATGAATTGTGAAGAGGCATTTGCTTCAAGAAATGTTCAAGATAATGAAATTTCAAAGGGTGATAATCTTGTTATGTATTTCAGTTTATCTGCTAAAGTGGTTATCAATGTTCTTGGAGAAACAATTAATTATACCACATTTTGATCTGTTGGTTTGTTCTACTTTAATATTTATATAGCAATAAATAATAAGCAATCAAGATCTATACGTTTTGAAACTAGTTTGATTTGATTTTAACGTTATTTTATATTATGTTGATCACGCTTCAATAATTTCAGCGACAGTATTTTTATTTATATTCCCAGTTACTACTTTTATACCTCAAATCATTCCAATGATTTGAGGTACTAGGCTCTAATATTAATTGGTTATGAGATAATTAAAATTTAGTTATGCTATATGCAAATTTGGGAAATTTGATGTGTTTAGTTTACCTATTTTTTCTTTCCTTTAAAGATTTACATAATAAATGGTCCAATTAAAGAAAAGAGTGATATATACATGATACCAACCTAAATATAATTCTAATGTATTAATTAATTAAAATTTAAACACCTTTTAATTGACTTTCAAATTATTCTTCGTCAAATACTTTTCTTATCCAAAAAAGTAACAAGCATCTCATAAATTAGTTATGTATTAAGAGCTAATTCAAATATCATAATTATTTTTTATTTTATAAAGCATAGATACATAATTTATTCTTTTCCTATTAGTTTGATCGTTTCTCAGTTTAGAAAAAAGAAAAATGTGACGTATCAATTTTGGATAAATACATAGTTACAAAATACCATGATAGTAACGTTGCACCCTCACCGTACGCAACTACTTCCCTGGCCCCACACACTCTCTCTATATATATATTATTTATTTATTTACTTTATCCATTTTCATCTGAGACAAAATGGTAGAAGCTATGAGCAGAAGAAAAACACTGAATTTTCCGTTAATACTAACGGTGTTAACTATCCACTTTGTGATCGTCGCCGGCGAGTATTTCAAGCCGTTCAATGTCACCTACGATAACCGAGCTCTCATCATCGGCGGTAAACGCCGTATGCTTATCTCCGCCGGAATTCACTACCCTCGCGCCACTCCTGAGGTTAGTGAAACTTCCAATTTTGCTAATTTCAGTCCATGAGATCAGTAAAAGTTGTTTTTTTTTCTCCTGTTAATTTACTGCTCTTTGACTGATGCATAAGCTAAATACTCCGTCTGTATAATTGTCAGTGTCGAGAGTAAAACTGTATGAACTTTGATCAATATTTTAAAAAGTTATTTTTTCATCATGATTGCAACTTTTAGTGTACGAACATCTAAATTTAAAATATTGAATTAATCTAATTCAGTTGAGCTCCGTAAAAGTGAATGGAGGACTGGAGGGAGTATGTAGTAATTTCTATAAGAGTGTTTATTTATGTTAAATTGTGGAGTAAATGATTTCCAAATGGAGAAAGAGGGTAATGATTTTTGGAACAGTCTAAAAAGAATTTCTTTTTGGAGGGAGTATATTGTATAAGAGTGACGAATTAGAATTCCATGGAATTGGATAAAGGATCAAGTAAAAGGTAGCTGCTTTGAGGATTGTTCTGGATTAACGGTGAATTGTGTAGCAAAATAAAAGAAGACAAAGAACATAGTTTTGTTACAGTGTTTGGCTGTGGAGCAGTTTCAAGGGAAACATTAATTTGTGAATTTGTGAAAAGCAACACTTCTCAATCAGTGAATTATATCTGAACTTCACATCCTTCGCTGAATAGAAAATCATTTTAATATCTCAATGGACATTAAACAAAGATATCAGCTTGTTAGAGTTATTGCATTTCTTGCAACAGTTCTTTCATGCAATTTAAAGAATTAAACTGCTAGTTTGATGTGCCATAAATCTCTGAAATTCAAAATCAAATAGTGACGTTATGCTAATGTAACTTATACATCTTGTTTTTCTCATGTTCTCTGGATGAACATAGTGTATGAACTTCCACTACACCCTCATGTTACAAATTATTCTTAGTTTTTATAAGCCTTGTGCATATCACATGTACCAGATGTGGCCCACATTGATAGCTAGGAGCAAAGAAGGTGGTGCAGATGTCATCGAGACTTATACATTTTGGAATGGTCATGAGCCAACCAGGGGACAGGTACTCATTTCTTAAAAACCTGCATTTTTGTGTTTGTTGCACTGAAGGTAATGCGATCTGTATTCTTGTAGAGTTATAACATTTAAACGAGTCGGTTTTGTTCTTCAATTGACTTCTTTTTTTAATATTTCCTACTATTTAATTTCCGTAACCTTTACCTTTTCTGAACTGCTTCTCTTTTGATGCTTCTCTTTTCAGTACAATTTTGAAGGAAGATATGATATTGTCAAGTTTGCAAAGCTAGTCGGATCTCATGGACTGTTCCTCTTTATTCGAATAGGTCCTTATGCCTGTGCAGAATGGAACTTCGGGTTACGTTCTGTTTCCAATATTTCCCTGCTCAGTTTTAACTTTATCATTAGTTCATGTAAAATGTGTTGTCATGCTTCAAGATCTAGTCTATTTTTTCAATAAAGCAAAAGGAAATGCATTACTTTCATTCTCACAAGGTGATAAGCAACAACATAGAAGGGCGGTATCTAGAAGAGAATCTGTAGTAATTCAGTAGCTGACAAGTTAGCACCGAGAAATATTTTAGAAAAAAAATAAAATAGAGATATCAACAACAGAATATAGCAGAAGGGCGTTAACACATTTGTGTCACCACTGAGAGCTTCTCTATTGATCTCACTTGGTGATTCCTGTCTGTATTGCAGGGGATTCCCCATATGGCTTCGTGATATACCTGGAATAGAATTTCGAACAGATAATGCACCATTCAAGGTATTATAATATAGCAGGGGAGCAGTAATTTTTCTGTGGAATTGTATGAGGCCTTTTTGAGGTGTCCTTGGAGTGTGACCTTCTAAATTTTGAAGATAACTTGTTTGTTTGGCCATGTTTATTTTTTGTTGAACCTGATTTGTGGCCTCATGGCTTCTGCACATATTATAGGGTCCAATTAATTCACTGAAACTGAACCAATTACTTGTCACATTGTCAATTCTAAATTCAATTAACCGTATAGATATATTAGATACATTGTTAGGCATAATACTCAGGGTATGTCCTAGTGGTCAATAAAGTGGGAGGAAAACCAAATGACAACATCTCTATTGACTGCTTTGTCAGCTTTATGTTATTGTCCAACAATAAGCCTCTGCCTTTCGTTTATTTGTCTTCACACATGCATTTCAAGATTAGTTCCGTCCTTCTGTTCCTCACCCCCTCAAGATTTTTTCGCTGGAGCAAATAGCTTGGCAAATTTTGTCAACCTGTTTCTCTATTGGAAGATTAGATTCTTGTAGTTTTTGTTCTTTGGTTCTCAAATAAAGCATCTATACCATGCATTTGATGGCAGGCATTCCTTGTTTATAGTAATTTTGTTTCTGTTTAGCTAATATTCATTCGGAAATGTGGTGTAGTTGGTTGACTGATTGAATCAGCAAAAACTAAGTTGTCTTTCCAATACTTTGTTGGTTAAATTGCAGTTGTTGTAGTTTAAGAGCATTAATTGGCTGCTGGAAGATTAAAATTTGACAAACTGAAACACTTTTCCCAGGAGGAGATGGAGCGCTATGTTAAAAAGATAGTTGATCTTATGATATCTGAGTCGCTCTTTTCGTGGCAAGGTGGTCCTATCATTTTGCTGCAGGTTATGAAATTTCTTATCCTGAATCACTGATTAGAATATCAGTATTACTGTAAGTCTGATAACTGCACTTTATTAGTTAGACAAGTAGGAATTTTTTGGTCAAGACTGCTTGAAATAATTGACATGAATAATGCACCTTACAACTGAATCTGAGTAATTTCCTCTTGAAATGATTAATGGATGTCCAGTTTTAGAGACATTATCTGCAGACACTGATACATTTGGCACTTTCATCTATCTCCTTCCCTTTCCCTTTCCCTTTGCATATGTCCTTGCATGCTTCTGCACCTAGGTTTAAACTTGAGTTGTGTCTCTTTCTGACGCTAAACTTTTGTCAGATTGAAAATGAATATGGAAATGTTGAAAGCTCATTCGGTCCCAAGGGGAAGTTATATATGAAATGGGCTGCTGAAATGGCTGTTGGTCTTGGTGCTGGTGTTCCATGGGTCATGTGCAGGCAAACTGATGCTCCAGAATACATCGTAATGCACTTAATTCCCTGATTTTCTCTAGTTGTAGCTAGTTGATCTATTTAGTCTAATATTACAACAACTACACCAGTATAATCCCACAAGCTATGCTGCTCGAACTCTTTTTAAAATGTTGACGAGTGCGTGTCGGATCTTCCAAAAACAGTGTATTTTTTACTGACACCTGTGCAGCAATATTCTTGGAGAGTCCGAGCATCTTAGCCCACAAGAAGAGTTTGGGGAGGGAAGGATGTACCCAGACCTTACCTTTGTGGGGGTAGAGAGGTTGTTTGCAATAGACCCTCGTCTATTTAATCTCTAATAGTTTTGATAAAAATATTCATTAGATGATATATTTTTAGCAATTCATTTCATTGAACGAGTTGCATAAAAACTAGTATTTTTAAGTAGTTTTATGAGAACATGCACATATTTCTTGAGTTTCTTTTGTAAAAGATAAGCCGGTGTAGAAACTGATCAATTTGAACCTTACTTTAAAATTTAAACAAATTTAACTCTTTATCATATAGAACTACTGCAGTCAATTGAATTTTCAAGTTAACCTAACACATGAATTCTGGAAAACTGATCTGAGTTGAAGAAGCCCTGGTTTCTTAAACCTTTTTTTGGATTAAATTTATAATTCGAAAGCAGCAGTGAGTTCTCTCTTAATTATTTCTCTCTCTTGTGTTATTATAAGTCCTCCTTTTCAGGGCCAGGGTATTCTATCTTTTCTTTATCTTGTTATGTTAAAGAATTTTTTATTTTTAACAGATAGATACTTGTAATGCATACTATTGTGATGGGTTCACGCCGAATTCCGAGAAGAAACCGAAAATTTGGACTGAGAATTGGAATGGATGGTATGATAATTGTTTCTTGTTTGTTAGACCTTTCTTGGTCATGTCTTTGAATTCTGAACCAGTATATGCATGATTCCAGGAAACCTTAGGTTCTTGTGGTGTTATGATTGTAAGATCTCTAACATGTGAGTTGACTTCTCTATAACTCATGAACCAAAGAGCAACGTATTTTGCTTGCAT